GGGGGCGGCCCGGGGCCCTAGGAAGGGCGGGGTGGGGCGGGGTGGGGGGGGGTGGGCCACAAGATGGCTGGCGAGGTGCTCCTGGAGGGTCTAGGCGGATGGGCCCAAAATGGCTGACCGGGCACATGCAAAATGGCCGATTGGGTGCCCGCAAAATGGCTGACCAAACGCCTACCGAACGGCCAGCTGGGCACCCACCAAATGGCTGACCGAGCACGTACAAAATGGCCGACCGGGCGCAGCTTCCGAATGGCTGACCGGGCGATCCTAAAATGGCTGACTGGGCCCCACCCCTCCTTAAAATGGCCGATTTTGAATGAGCCCCCTCAAAATGGCCGACGGGAACCGCCTCAGCAGGGAATGGCCAACCGGGTCTTTGCATTGGCCAATCAGAGAACCCCCCCAAGATGGCCGCCGAGCCTGCTGCCAATGGCCCCCCCCGGGTGGCCCCAAGATGGCCGATGGTGACCCCAAGATGGCCGACCTGGCCCCCACAAAATGGCCGATGGGGGCCCAAGACGGCCGACCGGAACATCCCAAGGTGGCTGACGCAGCGGATGGATGATGTCAGAGACAGTGACTGGCTTGAACGCAGTGACGTCAGAATGGGCGCTCGAGCTGAGTGATTTCAGAGTTGGCGGCGTTGGAACTGGCAGCCATGTTGAATGCAGTGACGTCACAGGCGGTGGCCATCTTGGTCCAGGTGATGTCACAGCCAGCGGCCCTGTTGCTCCGTGTGATGTCAGAGGCGGCGGCCACCTTGAAGCCAGTGATGTCAGAACCCGCCGCCATCTTGAACGCAGTGATGTCAGAGGCGGTGGTTATCTTGAATGCAGTGATGTCAGCAGTGGCCATCTTGAACAGTGATGTCAGAGCCAGCAGCCATCTTGAAGAAAGCGATATCAGAGCCAGCGGCCATCTTGGTCCCAGCGGATGTTAGTGCTGGCGGCCATCTTGAACTCACCGACATCAGAGCTGGTGGCCATCTTGATCTCAGTGGATGTCGGAGTGGGCGGCCATCTTGACCATGGCGGATGTGGGAACTAGCAGCCATCTTGACTCCAATGGATGTCGTAACTGGCGGCCATCTTGAAACACAGTGAATGTCGCAGCCAGTGGCCATCTTGACCCCAGCAGATGTGAGACTCGGCGGCCATCTTGACCTCAGTGGATAGCAGAGCCGGCGGCCATCTTGACTCTGGCAGACACGGCACCTGGCAGCCATCTTGAGTCCAGCAGAGGCCAGCGCTGGCAGCCATCTTGACCCCAGCAGACATAGGGCCTGGCAGCCATCTCGACTCCAGTAGACATCTGACCCGGCGGCCATCTTGACACCAGTGGACGTCGGAGCCGGTGGGCATCTTGCCCCCCGCAGCCACCACCCCCCGCCGCCCCC